GTAACACTATTGTAAACTAAATTTCATGTAATTTACTGTTATTCAAACTTGAATACCCTTCTTACCTAATTGTGTTCTTAACCTTGCCATAAAAAAATATGTTACACTACTTGGGAGAATTTTATTCCAGTTCAAAAGTTCTGTATTGTAGAAGGGGGATACTGTAATGTACAATATTTATACAGGATACTAAATTCAATGAGCAACAGTGTGGCAGCTTACAAATTGAAAATCAATGGACTGGGTGGGAATTACACTACATGTACTGTATATATAAATAAGTTGAAAAACTCACTACAGCACTGTTTTGCCTTTCCAACTTTCACATAATTATGATTATTAACTATAATAATATGTCTGTTTAGCATTTACTAGTTATTTTAATACTGTACCATGAAATAGAAAATGTGGATTGGTGTATACAAAGAATCATTATATATATATATATATATATATATATATATATTATATATATATATATATATATATATATATATATATATATATATATATATATATATATATATATATATATATATATATATATATATATTTTATATAGGTTATAAAGGTTAGGGGGTTAGGGTAGATGTGATAAAACAAGAGAAGAAACCTTAAGCTCAGCAAAGTGATTACAAAACACAGGTGCTGGATGACAAAGAAATGTATCAAGAGTCAAGATACCTATCCTCCTAAATGGAAAAATCTGAACAGGTCTTCCAATTAACTTTTACAAGCTTTATGAACACTTTTATGAAATACTATACAAAGCATCTTACTACAAAATGTGAAGATATCCGGCCTGGAATATATTGTCAAGTTGTTTATTGCACCATAGTAGATAAGACTTCTGATGGGAACTTTAGACAATGAAAAAAATTGTTTAGGGACTTTTATATCAGACACACAGTAAAAGACCTTGACATGTAATGAATTTGGTGTACAGTTGGGGTATGTTCCACTTAAGACACCCAGCTACAACTTCGACACTCAACTATCTGGTAATGGTGTGTGAGAGGCGGGCAGGAGAGGGAGGACCAGAGATGGAGGCGGGTTAGGAAACTTGCTGGAGGTGTGTGGTACATAGTATGCAGATGATGTGTATTGCCTTCGTACAGTAAGGATAGATGATGTATGTGTCACGAGTCTAATTATATAGGATGACGGTATAACACAGTTACCAGATAGGTAAGAGTCTGTTGAATGCTTCGCTACCACAGGTCTCACATTCAGAGGCTTGAACTTGTGGCCGAGTGTCTTACGTGGAACATTCCTCAACTGTACATGATCAATACTACAGAAAAATGTTGCCAAATGTTATTAAAGGGATGGAACTTTCTGCTGAATATGAAGAGTAATTTTGCAAGTGACAATGTGATTGCATGGCAGCGTAAAATATAAAGCATAATTCGATAGCTAGCAACTCGAGTTCTGGATAATTATCACGTTTATCAGATGGGCCTAATGCACACTACAAATTAAAAAGCACAAGGCATAAAATCTGCAAATGACAAATACTGTATATATGATTGGTCTGGAGCATGTGGTCCTGGACTTCATGTAGGTCGTACTCTCACATCACGACAGAAAGGCATACCATACCAAGGTCTAATGCAATATCTTAACTGGTTGCAAAGCTAGAAAAAGAGATGCAAAATGGCTGGAGACAAACATAAAGGTTGATGATTCAAGGGTTTTCAGAGCTTCAGTTAGGGACCCTAAATACAGTATGGTCGGGATATATCGCGACTTTATATAATGATTTTTTTATATTGCGGCTACCAAAATTTTCCTTTACAGTATATAGTGACAATTTTTTTTTATTTCGCGAGGGAAATCGGGCAGGAAGTATTTCAAATGTACCGCCATGGCAAACAAATGCATTACTTGCTTACCAGAGGCGCCACTGTGGCTGCTAACTCGCGTATTCACGCTCGCCCGCTCAAGTCTTTCTGAGTGAGTGAAGAGAAAGTAGCCGACTCTGCTGCAGATTATGACCTCTAAGGTGAGTGTAAATGGGTTGCTAGAGATGTGAAAAGTGAAGTGAAAATAATGGAAAGCTTAATGGAAAGGATTTAATACTGTAACTAATATTTTTGGTGTTCGTTTATGTAAGCGTGGGATTTTCAAGTGAGGGAGGCAGTGTGGCGTCTACTGCCGAGTCTGGTGTTCCCTGGGTGGTGCGTCAGCTGCTGAGTCTGGTGTTCCTTGATATTGACATTCAAATAGCTTGTTGTTCCCGAGTCTAGTGTTCATTGGTGCTTTAGTTAGTAAGAATATGAACTCATTAAGTCAAGTTTAGTCACTTTTGGGGGGGGGGCCCTCAAGAACCTAACCCTATTTTCCCCATTGATTACATGTAATTATTTATAGCGATTTAGTATATAGCGAACATCGTTCGACCCTATCTTGTGATATATCCCGACCTTAGTGTATAGTACTGTACAGTACAGTATATCAAATGGCACATAGGTGTGGTTATGCTCTGACTAAATTAGACAATAACAGCCTGATAGTTTGGTATGTTGCAGATATGCAGTAAACATTTGAGAGACAGGGATGTACAAGAGCTAAAAACAACTACCTGTGCAAACTTTGTGGGAAACAATATGAGACAATTGACGATAATTTTTGGTATATGAGGGCTGTCACCAGACACACGTAACATTTTGGAGCATATCGACCACCACCTGCACAGATAGTTGTTTTAGCTACTGTACAGTACTATGACAATTAAAGTTTTAATAATCATAATAATACTAGTGAGATATATGTGGCAAAAGACAATGGATGAACTTAAAATGTTCGTAGGTTAAGTATAATGACTGGCACTTAATTGGAAATTACATGCCGTGGATGCGTGTGTAACATTTTCAAACTCTAGTCATAATATTAAAGAACACTGTGACAGGGTAGGATACACAAGACATTATTTGCAAGAATAATAAATAAAAGTAATGAGAAGACAACCTATAACATTATTTCTGCTCAACTAAATTTCACAATTCTTTTACAACCTTCTGTGGTAATTTTCCAGTACTTTAAAGAAGAAATAACAGCAAAATACTCGCATTAATTCTACAACTTGTACATAAAACCCACACTGCTTGATGTGTCATTTTCTATGATTTTAAATGTGTAATACTGTACTGCAATACCCAGGCTTTCCAGGTTTTTTTTTTTAGTCCAGTGTACATGATTGTGTGTTCCCATTTTATATGCTGTCAATACATCTATTTATTAATTACAATGTCCACTAAACAACTCAATGAGATTTATGTTCACTATATTATAGTTTAATGATAAAATTTCACCACGCTCACTGAAAATTAAAGGAAAATACCTCCTGTACTCTTTGAACAATACTCTGTACTGTATAACACGAAGACACCCACTATTAGATGTTTGTCTGTTGGCATACTGTAATACTACTTTAGTGTCCCTCATATACGAAGAATTAAATCCTTGATACCCTACATCCAGGATAATTTATGAAGTCTGTACTGTAGTTATGTAACACTGAGATTAAGAGGCATCTAGAACTGAAAGATTGAAGAAAGGAAATGGAGATAAAAAAAAAGATACAAATCATTCACTTTGGTGATATATATATATATATATATATATATATATATATATATACACACACACACAGTACAGTATATGAACTGTATATACACAGTATGATAAAATAATTTTACCAAAACCATCATATTAAATACCTGTATCATACAGGAACTGGGAAAAAATTTATAGAATGTTCCCATCAAGATCCACATGAGTAATCCAACATAAAGCAAATGACGGCAGTGAAGATAAATTAAAAGATCTAAACTCAAGAACAAACAGTATTAATGACAACATAAAATCTCCATATTTGTTTTAAAAATAAGTGGTTGCTGATAATGAACCCATATACCTGTATAGAGTAGTCAAGTAATAAAATGCATATTGTATGCAGTATTGCTAAAACAGAAAATTTGAGTGAGGCGTCATCCTTGCTCAAAGTCACTGACTCGCTTCTAACAGCAGCTAAAAACATTTGTCTCGTCGACGAAAAAGCAATCCTGTACAATAAAACACAACTTCTTAACATTTTCCAGTAAATTATATACTTTTGTCAACAAAGAGAAAGTAACTGAATACCTATTAATTTACTATAAAAATGTTTTATCATCATGTAAACAAACCCAACATGTCCAACAACTTGATGACATTTGACATCAGCACATTAAATATTGTATGTAAATATTGTATGTACCCTGTATCTATTTACATGATAAACAAATCACACTGCATAATGTACTATGTGACTCAACCCAAATAGAGTCAAGTTGCTCTTGTTTTCTGTATTTGTGAAATACATTGACTTCCCCTTCAAACAATCAACTGACGGCCCATAATATAAGTCAATACTTACATATATCCAATATCAATACTGCCAATAAATACATTCCCACATTATTCATGCTAAATGACAATACTGAAATGTTGTTTACAATCTGAAGAACTTGGATTCCTAATAGATACAAAATTTTTTACAAATATACTGAAGTTATGTAACAATTTGCTGCCTGGCATTGCTTGACCCTTGAGGAGAAAATACTCCTCAACAGAGTTCAATGATGTTTGAGAAAATTATGTCTGATGTACTGTGTATCATTTAGTAAATACTTGAAATATGAAAATTTCGTCTTCAATTGATTTAGTGACTGACATGCTCAGTCACTGCCAATGTTGGTCTTAGTTATTTTTTGTTACTACAGTACTTGGTTAAAAGAGAGACGAAAGAAACTTGCATTTTCAAACTATAAATATTATTTATATAAAAATTTACTTCAACTAACTACAGTACAGTAATTCTTTTCAGATTGTACAGCACTTAACTTTACTTATTGTAGCGTACATAATAATTGCCAAAGTTTACAGAAGATGAATCAGTGGGCAAGTTTTATGGAAGTTCAATTACACAACTTTCAAGGTCCAGTGGAAAGTCCTGATGTGTTTCAGGTATTTAGGATAATTATTAACTGTACAACACTGACAAAAAACTTTCTCAATAACATCCAAGATATTCACGGGATCTTAAAATTTTGATGTCATATCACAATACAGTTTGAATGAAAGACTTAGGAAAAGAAAGTCTAAATGAACCCTGATAGAGTAAAAACCTTCTCCATTAAAAAACTAAATACTTAGTTTATGTTTGGTATATGGTAATTTAGCACACACATGGCTGTTTCTGATCGTAAAATTTGTCGGTGTGAACTTCGAGGCGTGAACACTTCAATATTACTAAGAACATGATTAACCTGGGACCGTGTGCTTCTTGTCTGACACCACATACGTTTTTTGGTAGAGTTACCTGCGACACCAGATTCAGATATGACAGCTGAAGAGGTATGTAAAGAAGTTGTTGGTAAAACACTTCTTATAGCTCTTAGTTTTCTATAACCAGTCTGTGTCCTAGCCTCTCCTTTGACCCTTTGTTTACTATTATAAGATTTAAATTTTTTTAATGACCCCCTTAAGTCCTTCAGTTCCTTACATTCATCACTTAAAAGACCAGAAAGTTCGCGACTTATTTTCAAGGATACTTTCTTTTTTTCTCGCTCTCTCATGTAAGGCTCATGCTTTTCGATTGGTGATTCAGTTTTTGAAAAGTATGAAGGATCATCTTCTTCATCGGAACTGGCATTAAGATATTTCACTTTTTCTGAACCGACTAAATCTGCTGGATGGAAGCCTGTTCCACGTAGTTCTTTATACTCATCCCTCCCTAGGTTGCACAGCTCTCTGATGAGAGATGGATATCTTTTCTTTTTACTTCCAGCTCCTGTTCTTGCAACTGATTCTGATGGTATTTCACTAACTACACCATCTTTAATAGTTACATTACTCTCTCCTGTACATGTTTTTACAGTGTTTAAAACCAATGACTCAGAGGTTCCTGAGTCAGATGTTATGATTTTTCCTATTTCAATGAAGTGTTTATCTTTTCTTGGATCTTCTGGATTGGGAGTTTGTGCCTGCAGAGCACCACACTCTTCTGCTGTTTTGCCCATAAACTCCAGCCTTGCATCAGAATGGACTGTAGGAGAAACACCCACTTCATCTCCCTTAGGAGAATTAACTTTATCATATTGTGTACTTCTCAACATTGCTCTTCTAATCTCTGGTAACTCGGAAAGACGAAAACCCATCCGACTCATTTCCTTCCATTCATCTTGGACAAGTGCTCTAATTTCTTTCGAGACTTTCTTTTCTTTACTCATTTTCTTATATTTCTTTTTTGGCTCCTCTACCCCATACATATTGAGTAAAGTGGCGACACTTGTTGATAATCTATCTGTTTGAGGAATATGGTTTTCTGTGTGGATCACCTTATTCAAAACAGGTCTCATGTTCTTAACCGGGTGAAATCCTCTTTTACGCATTTCCTTCCATTCATCTGTGGCAAGATTTAAAAGTTCTCTTTTACTAATGCTAAATCTTTTTCTCCCTCCTCTTGATATATTCTTTAGGCCTCCTGCAGTAATACTAGATTTTTTATAAAAAACTACCTTACTTCTTAAAAATGATACACTCGGCACTAACTTTTTCACAGGCTTACTATTATATGTTTCTACAAGTGTTCTTCCATCATTTGATTGTGAACGTTCCTTTCCATGAAGAATACATTCACTAGCTTTAGTCCCACTGTAAATTTTTTTGTTTTCTGAAAATTCTTCAAATTTTAACTCTCTTGTGACTGTACCAATTGGACAATTATCATTTGATTCCACACCAAGCTTCATGTATGAGGCAGAATTCCCATTTTCGTCTGTGCAACCAGAAGTACCCTCTCTTGATATTGATGAAGGGCCCAAGTGATGAATGTTAGCAGTAGTAACTTTGTTTGACTCTGGTATAGTTCCTAAATTACAACTATCAGTGGCACTCATTTTAGACATATTTACAGGTTTTATTTCATATTTACTTAGGGGATTTAAATCTTCACGATTTTCTAACACGCAAATATTTTTTCTTCGTGCTCTGCTGGGAGTATATCTTTCAACAGATCTTCTGGTTAATCTAGTATCCTGCAAATCTAGTTGTCTCAGTTCTCCCAGCCCTTTACACTTAAGTTCCCGGCACTCGTCATGAAGAAGTTTCCTCACTTCCAAAGGGCTTCTTTTCTCTCTAAACAAACATGCACTGAATGTAACACCTTCGGCCTCCAGTCTATCATTATCCTTTTTTTTTACAGATTTTCCTAAAATGGACTGTTCTCTATGTAGCTTAAGTAAAGAATTCTCACTTTCAGAGATTTTGCCATTAGAATAATGCCTACAATCACCATTTCCTTCAGTTCCCACCAAAGACTTAAAAAATTCAACACCCTTGCTAACAGTATTCACTATGCTATTTATTAGTCCACCAACTGGAGTTCCAATCACAGGGAAATGTTTATTTGGATTAATCATCATCCCCTTCTCTGGAGTCATAGTTTCCTCAGTCTTCTTACACTTCATTTGTCTTTCCTTAATTGATATAATATTAAAGGAGTTATCTTCAGCTATATGAAATGGAGATTTAAAACTAATGTCTTTATCCACTCTAAACATTTTTGAGTTTTCATGGGCATACTTTTTGTTTCCAAAGGCACCATTCTGATTTGATACCCTGTGAAAATTGGCTTCAGTTAAGGGCACAGCATTTACATGAGCAGTGCTTAATTCTTCTTGGGTAACAGGAATGATCTCCTTTGGGATGACAACAACTTGGTCGTCTTCCTCAGGAGATATACGAGTACACCCTCTGGAGGGTAGAGGCACATGTCTGACACTCCCATTTGAAGAGACATTCACCCTTGTATTTGAAATGTCTAATATTAAGGTCTTTCCACCACCACACTGAGGCTCTTGACTTTTCCGTTTACGGCTATTACCTTTGGTTTCAGGGCCTTGGCTGGCTGATGGTGAAACGGTGTTGTTGGGTAGGAACAAAACATGTGGGACGGGCAATGTTGCTATATTGGGCGGGACGTTCGGCGGCTGGCCATTGGTCGCCAAGTCCCCTACGCGTCCGGCTCCACAGTGGGACTTTTGTTTTGACGACCAATGGCTATTCCCATTTTTTGGCAAGGAATAGTCAGAAGAATCTGGCACTTTAGCACCAGTATGTGGATAGCATGCTAGACCATCCAATTGCTGTGGGGCATTGTCTGCTTCACTCTGTCCGCGAGCCCGAACAACATCATCATCATCACTAGAGAGATCAATTATTTCAATACAAGAGATTGTTTTGGTATGTGAGACATTGGAGAGAGAAACATTGGTGTTGTTTATTGGCACCGAGTTACTGTTCCTCTCTGACACGTCAGGCACTATGTGGGAATAAATATTTTGGTTGCCCTTTGGCAAACTTTCACTATGGGTTGATGTGATTTGCTTGTTTTGACCACGGTGGTAACCTGGAGACCTAAGCAGAGCTTCATTGGGAACTGGTACACCTACTCTTGAGTTATTACTACTCTGTTCACTTACTGTAAATCCCTGAACACTAGATTGTTGATCACAAATACCATATTTTCTTCTTGACAATGGCTTCAATTTATCACTATTTAATTGCTTATTGCTTGAGTTATGCAAAGCAATGGAATTTAATGGAATTATGGATATGTCTGCAGGGGAAGAATCTTTCAGTTTCATAGGAACACCTGTTCCTTCAACAGGATAGATTAATGACTGACTCATTACATTGTTACTAGCCACCTTCTGCATCTGTGCTTTCTGACTGAGAATAGACTGCAAAATAATTTGCTCACTTGTTAATAAAGGCTGGTTCCTTGGAGAGGGCAAAGGAATCATTTTCAAAGAATTCTGTTGAAACGTGGCATTTGGATTTAGTTCGTGTATGCCCAACTGATCAATGTGCTTAGGGGTGAGACTACTATTAAACATTCCTCCAGGAGATAAAATTCCACTTCCACCAGGACCACACAAAGGCTGAATACCATGCAACCACTGTGTTGTGCCAACAGCTCTTCCAGATGATGATGCTTCATAGCTTTCATTTGTGTACAACTGTGCTCTAGAATCAGGCAAGCGGTTATTTACAGGCAAATTGGAATATCCATCAAGTGTCCATCTATGGTCCATCTGGTTCTCTACAGTTAAGTCAATACAAGGAGCTGTTGATTCTTCCACCTGCTTTAATCTATTGTCTGGGCTTTTCTTTAGTCGTTTTAATACGATCTTCACTGGCCGACAAAGTCTCATTAGTCGTCTGCTTCCCCGGTTTAGTCCTGAAAATAGAAAAGAAAAAAGAAGCAAGACCTTGCTTTTAAAAACTAAGAGCCACAGCACTGCCACCTGCAACTGCCATCAAGTCACCAAATAATCTCCAAAAATTGGACTGTACAATAATATTCTAATTACAACTACAGTACTGTACATCCTGTACTCTAGTACCAACTACCGGTACTGTATATCTTATACTGATTTTTACAAATGTACTTTTCATTTTTATCCAAGTTAAGGGACCTAACTAACAACACGAGAGAATTACCACACCTACAGTTTTGGCTTAAATCTGTATTCTTACTTATATACTTATATACTTGTAAAACAGTTATAATTATAAGTAACAACATTTCAAACAGCAGTTTCTACCATCATCTCTACTGTGTAGGAGCAGAAATACTGTCTAATGATTTATTTCTTAAATTGGGTTTTGATATTTCGTTTTGTATTACAGTAATTAATAATTGCATCCAATTTTTCCACACAAAGATTCAACAATTAGTCTGTTTTTCTTTCATGATTTCGTGTAGCTACTGTATATTCAAGATCATAAATTAAAAAACGTTTTCACAACTATGAATTATTAAAAAAAAAAAAAAATTCAGTACTTTTCCTTGAAAATGTAAGATAAAATACAGTACTGTTATAGTGATTGTGGAGAAAATAATAGGAGTACAAAATAAGAATACATGAACAGTAGTGACCTAATGCATAAAAAAAAAGCCCTTTGGTAACTGGATACAGGCATCATTCATTAACTTTATAAAATTTTCCACAACAGTCAACATGAGTACTGTTATGACCATATACGACCTGGAACTTTTAATAAGACTTGAGTTCACCATTCTGTACTTTGTCCTATGACAATTTATGTTTATAGGAAAGTTCATCAAAATATGTACAGAGTATACCTGTATTCATTTATGAATTTTACTTCTGGTAATGAAAAATTTACTCTCAACTTTCCGAGAAATGCACACCACAATACTGTAAGTCCATTTCCAATGGGTGTATAAAATGGAAAGTGTCAAGATGTATGCCAAGTCTCCCTGCAGGTGTTTGACTGCAGTCATATGCACTTCCCATTTTCTGGGGGTATTTTTCTAGGAATAAAGGGGTCCCCGACTTACGAACGTCCAACTTACGAACGAACGCCGATACAAACGGGGTTAAACTTGAAATTTACAGTATTTTATTTACCTGATGACTTATTTTTTACTTTCATTTACTGTGTCATTTCATTTCTTCTTTTGTCTTAAATTAAGTGATTTTAGATGTACAGTATATAAGGAATTAGGCTATGATATATTGGGATTTTAAATATTGTTCTGTAAGTACGGTATGCACTTAACATGTCTTCCGACTTACGTACAAATCCGACTTAAGAACGTCCTCAGGAACAGAACCTGTTCGTAATCCAGGGACCCCCTGTAAATATAATTATATCAAAATGTCACCCACATGCTTGATGACGAATCTTTCAGTTTGTACCTGTGTTAATGGTGATCCTACGCTCTTGCCTCTGTCCACTAGTAAAGCAGTAGAGGTGCACCCATGGCTGTTCCTCCTTTCTGTCCCGCCATACAACAATCCATCGATTATTGCATCTGTTGGTTATTAAACACTGTTAATCTCAAAAATGTCATGATGGATGCCAAGACCAACAACAAGTGCTAAGTGCTTAACAAAATATATAAATACCATATATTGTGGCCTATAAGTCAACCTGGCGTATAAGATGACCTTAATTATTTCAACTGAAATTGTTGATCTAGGCCTATACCTGGCTGTTAAGTCAGCCCCCAAAGCTGCAATTTGAAAGCTACGTCCTCGATGTCAGCTAAACTTGCCAACATTTACTTTTTAACAGCACTCACAAACACTTTTACCTAACTGTAGTATTTTGAAAATGTTAAAATACCTCTTGGTGTTAACTACGGTTTTCTTACAAACAAATGTTACTAGGACACACAAATGTAGTGTAAACAAATCAGAACAACACAGTTCCTATCAGTGTAAAAATATTTAAGATACACTACGTGAGTAATGACAATTTACTTGTACTGTACTGATAGTTTATTATTAAATACTCGATATATTGACTTGTAAAAAATTCAAACTACAGTGGACCCCCGATTAACGAACACAATTGGTTCCACAGAGTCGGTTGTTAACCGAAAATTTCGTTAGCTGAATCTATTATTTCAATGAGATATTGGGTAATTGGTTCCAACTCACAGAAAAAGTATACATACAAAGTACTGTATAACGGTAATAGAATTAACAAAACATTAAATATAAACTAAATACAGTACTGTACTATATAATAAATAAAAAAACAATAGAATACTGTATTTTAACTTACTTTGAGGTGTGACGTCATATTCCTGGCAGCTTTGTTTACATATCAAACAGCTGATTGCAGAGGCAGTAAATGATGACATGCCATATTCTTTAGAGTGCATTGGTTCAAATGCCTTCTTCGTGTTTCATAATAATTTCTGCACTGTATATTATCCATGTTAACTAAATTTTAGAATGACCATTAATTTTAATATAAAAAATAGAACTGAAAGTCCTTATGGGAGCTAATTCGTTAACCGAAATTTCGTTAATTGAACCGTTCGTTAATCGAGGGACCTCTGTATATAATTATGTTACATGATAAGCAAAGATTTTGTACATTATAGTGACAATATATGGTAGTACTGTACTAACAGTATACGACAACAAGCAAACAGACTCTTGGTACATGATAAAAAAAAAAAAGGTTATCTTATTTCACCTAAAACAACACAAAATAAACCATTCAATTAACAGTACTTTGTATTATTAATGGTAGTACACTGTGTTGGCAGTATACAGTAACAGGCGAACAAACTCTACAGTCTCTGGTAAATTATTAAAATATTATTTTATTTATAACTAATACAATACAAAATAAAAGTTTCTTAAAAGTTAAGTTAACATCAATATAAACCATCCAAGTTTCAAAATCTTTCTAATTCTGGCTCATCATTATCAAGCAAAAAAAAAAAAAGAGCTCATCCATCATATGGGTCTGCTGACTCTGCCTCCGAATCACTGGGAGCGATGGCAACACTGGCCAAGCAGCCGCAGGCCAGCCAGCTGTTCCCAGGTGCCTGTATTGTTTACAACTTTACACCACATTCATGTAAACATCTACAAGATCCAGGTGCATTACATGAATATACCGTATTTGCATTTTTAAACATTTTAACAACAAATATTTAAAGTAACTGTCCTTAGTAATATTTGTTCAGTAACAGTTACCCTTTTGGAAAAAATGCTAGTTAGGTAAAATTTGTTTGCGAGTGCTGGAAATTACGAGAATGAGACCTATCAGTAAGGTAAAGTGAAAATCTGGTGCTAGTGGTGGAGCGTACTTAGAGGTTGACATTTTATACCTGTTGCATAGGACGACCCCTTAGTTTTGAATAAAATAATTAGAGCTTCAAAAGTTGTCTTAATGGCCACAATATACGGGATGTACACCTTTCCTTCAACCTCCTGCATCCCATTTTCGTCTGGGTACAGACCCTTAAACACAACTCTCACTCTACCCTTTTTACTCCCCATTTTCTCTACAATTAACTTATTACACAATACAGCTCACATTGGCGCAGTAATGGAAGCCAGGCAAGTGCCAGGCATACAGACATGAAAAATCACTTGCCCAGCCCCCTAGTCTGGACATGCTAATCTGCACAGCCTGGTATGTACAGTATAACTTATTCTCTGCTTTCTATTTATCTCACATAAATTTTGTAACCTTCTTAATTATTTGTTCCTGCAGCCAGAGCCCATGCTTCACCCATATAATACTGTTAACTAAATGAATCCTCCTGTCTCCATATTTGCCTACTTTGACACCCCCCCTCTCTCTCCATACATTTCTCAATGCATATACAGTAGTATTACTTTCATTCACTCTCTTAATCTATGCTTCATCACTCACTTTCATATTTACTGGCACATTCAATCCATATATATGAAGTACCGGTACATTGTGTGATAAAGGCTCATGGGATTATACAAGTATTACAAGAAACAATGCACATGGGTAATGAAAGAATCTTTATGTAGTTTAAACTAAAGAACAGTATGAACAAGTTTTACCTGAATATAAAGGTACCCTTGTACTGTACTGAATGTGAAAAGAACTTGCAGTATAAAAATTAATTTACTTTTCACATGTTGCCCCAATTGCAAATTTTTTGTCAAGGAGGCTTTGGTTGAAATTAAAAATGTTAACAATTAAGTTAAAATTAATCAAAACGACCAGTAACACTGCACAGAACTATTTACCTTTCTCTACCGGAATTTACATCGGTGTGTCGGGTAGCATGGAGGTGGCGTTCATATCTCATCACATAATGCTGTGATGCTTGATATTTGTTACGGAATTTAGAATTAGCAAACAAAAATCTGTAAAGAAAAACAAATAAAGTAACCTCTCCCCAAAGCAAGACAAATTTCTGTCCCTTATTGGGAGGATTCCCTAAACACAATACAATTTTCACAAATCATTCCCAACCCTCAAAATGAGCATCCAATACAGTTGAGTACCAGGGATCCCAAATGTTTGGAACCAAGAGGCCAGTACAGTATTCATCAGGGATGCTCAGGTGCGCTGAGTCTGTAAGTCCTAATACGTACCATGTGGTTAACAGTGGACAATTTTCTCATAACTAGATCTTCCCAGCAGAGTCCACTAATTATACTGGATAAAAAGTCTTCACTTATTGGTAATACTTACATATCCTTTATTGAGAACTCCTTTATTGAGAGGATTTACTGTACTATTGATATATAATTTCTTGCATACTTATGTCTAAATTTTGATGTAAAAGGATTATTTCATAATAAAATTTCTATGGGTCCCAAGAATCTACCATAATTTCTGAAAACCTAAAAATAAAATTTCACAAACAATGAGTGAATACAGTAGAACGTCGATTTAAAGCGATTAAATTTAAGATTATTGATTTAAAGCGATATTCACAATTAAGGACAATGTTTCAATTTAAAGCGAATCTTTCCTATTTTGCACGAGTCAATCTGGCGCATCATATTTTAAAATTTTCGCCTAATGTTTCTCTGGGCACACTACACTGTCCGAAGGGCAAAGCTGTACTGTACATGTACTCAAAATAATGTACTAAATGATTGCTAAATTTTTGTCGAGTGCAAACTATAGCATGATTATATTCAAATTAATCACTATCTTATAAGAATTCCAGCAACGTAAATTATATTCTCCCCGGTCACTTCTGTGACATTTTATAATAAAAAAACAAAAACTTGATCTAAAGGACTTAAATAAACAAATAAATACTTCACTAGACCTTGGCACAACTCAAACATGTTACTGTCACTTCCCTCCCCTCCCTCCCTCTCCCCCATCTTCCCAGCCAGGGTTTGGTGGTTATATGCTTAGTTTTTATCTTATATAATATCACAGAGTACAGTTAGGAGAATATAATTTGCATTGTTAGAATCCCTGCAAGACAGTGAATAATTTGAATATAAACGTCACATATTTTGCACAAGAGATAAAAATTTTAGCCCTTTGTAATAAAATTAATTAGAACATGTCAGTTCAGTGACATTTTATAAGAGAAAAACTTGGTCAATCTTAAGGACAGATAAATAAATAATCACTAGACCTTGGCATCAACTATCAAACATATCACCCCCCCCAATCTTCACATCAGCTGATCGCTATTAAACAGACCATTTCAAGTCCCATAATTTTAGCTGTGTTGATTTATGAGTTTGTTTTAATATAATACTTCAAAAAACAATGCTTTGTTTATTCTAGGAGATGGACTGAGGTACATCTGGGTAGACCCTTAGTCTTTTTAGTATTTTGTTTCTCTCATGTACCAAACTAAATTATTCCATTGAAACAACACTTCGATTTAGTGCAAATTCGGTTTAAAGCGACCCCTCTTGGAACATATCTCGTGTTATATGGACTTTCTACTGTATCTGGGCTCATGAAAGAACAGCCTTGTGTACCACTTTCTAACCTAGACCAAGGCAGCATGTGCAGTACCTTGCCAACTCTTGATTATTCAACTACACAATTTCAGTTCCAAGTGTCTAAGTACTAAAGTGAACAGCTCAAGGTAAATTTAATATTAGAGTACAGTATTCCAAATACTAAGTGACTACCAATGAAGTGAATCACTAAAGTATGACAATGACTATGAGGCTGTGCACCATACTAGAGAAATATGTGCTAATCTTTTGAAGTGTAAAAATTAATAATATTATGTGATAAAAATTTCATATTTGGTTATACTGTACTGTATTTACAAGTGTAATTAAATTTTTATATCTAAATACACACACCTAAAAGTTACTTTTGACCCACACTCTTACCTTCCTAGGGGAGAACTGATGGCTATAGAATCATAGCGTGGGTACATTGGCCCGGGGATTTTTCTGGGAGGGCTAGAAGTGCTCCTCTTTCTTGGGGACATATATGGCTCCACACCAGTGTGTTTGGCTGGCTGAAGGTTGAAGTATGAAAGGAACGGTACCTGGGAGAACAAAAAAAAAAAAAAAAAATAAATAAAATACAATAATGCATTTCCACACAAATACTGTTCAGGAAACTACCGAACCTTTGGATTTAGCAATTTTTTTGTGTTAGGATATTTTTTCTTCCAAATATTTTATTACAGGTTGACAAACCTTTATCCGAAATTCCGAAAACCGAAAAGCTCTAAAAACCGAAATTTTTTATTTTTTATTTTTTGGCCGGGATTAGCCCACCCGGGCATAAATCACTGACTCACATCGGGGCCTGGTGGGCGGAAATGTAATAGTAATAATAATTATAATAGAGTAATAATAATTATTCATAGTAAATAAGATTTGTAATTAAAATACTGTACACCAAAATAAAATAATAATGTTAACAATAATAATAATAGTAATAATAAAATATAATAATAAAATTAATAATAATAATAATAACAATAATACTGTAATAAAATAATAATAATAATAAAGAAATACAAGAATGAAAAAAACATCAAAAGTGAGAAATGCGACCTAGACCTATGAATTATTATTACAGTATTATTATTATTACAGTTATTATTAGTGTTTAATGTTCTAAGTTACTAGAATATTGAACTTTAGCAAAATTCAAATCCTTTTGCCATTCTCCTTTGAGATTTGTTGCCTCCATTTTACTCTGCAACATTTAATCAATACAATGTTTAACACTTTCCTGATCCTTGTGGCAAGATAGCCAGGGACAGGTCAACAATGACATGAGAGGCTGTAAGAGAGAAATTTGAGTTAAGAATCCAACAAGAAGCTGTATGAGATTGCGTAACATGGAGAACTGCCGTCATGTAATCATGGTAATTCAAGCAAGAGTGGGAAACGCCCATGAAACAATGATGAAGATGGTGATGAATATTTTTATACATTAAATAATTAAATTAAGTCACAGGTTAAGAAACAAAGTTATGATGAAAAGATGAAAGTTGAATATGATCCTTACTTGGCCAGCTGGCTCAGGCTCATCATCTATAAGGTCAGGCTCAGGTGAGGGGACAGCCGGAGATGACGGAACATCTCCACGACACTGTTTTTCATGGGTCTGTAAAAAAGGTGTAGTTAAGCTTAAATTACAATAACAAGACAGAAATATGCATATCTTGACTTAGTATTGATATAAACTGGTTGACAAAGAGTTTACTATAGACTTACAAAAGATCATGACTAGTGAATGTACATTACCTTTTTTCTTTCCTTATAACTCTTCAAAGGTTTATTGCTGAGAAGATTACAAGGTCAGAACAACCCATGGAAGTGACAATCTTAAAGGTCAATGACATTCCTACATTTATTTTCTGTGATATTATTGACACTTTCACCAAAACATAAAAAAAAGTACGGGTACTGTAGTTTTACCACATTAGTGATGGGAGAATTTACTCATCAACATCCATTTCATAACACCACCATATGCTGTATGCACCAAGGCCTTTCATGGTTTTTCTCTGTAAACCGCAAGGATAATCTTGAGATAAGTTGCTCTCTCATGACTGTCATTGCATAAGGCGAATGTTCATGGTCAGAATTTGTCCTAAAACATGGGAGTGTGACAAGCCATAAGGCCACACAACTTATTCTTTCTACTACACAAACCACACCTCACTTGATAATGTTGTAAACCTGCTCTTAACCTCCAAGGAAATCCCAGGAAGGCAGGTAGGATCTAGGTTGCCCCTCACTAAATCTGTTATGAAATAGTTCCCTGTTGTCATGTTACAACTGAGAAGGAATGTCAGATTTAGAAAAGGATAAAATATGGTGATCTCTCGAACATCACCTGGGATAGAAGGTTGATGTATGACAGGTTATCAAGGTGACAAATGCTGAGAGAGAACACACATGACAAACAGGCACAGACAGCAGCAGAAGTGTTAAAACCATCAACAACGTTACCTGCACTTCCCGCAGACTATAGAATTCATTTTCGCATTTGTCACAGAGGTAAATGTCAGTGGCAGGAGGCTGAAACATGGCCTTGGTGCCATTGGTGCCTTTCCTTTCCCCCGTGTGGGCACTGGGGGACAGGAGCAGCTTCTTGGTGGCATCTCTACCTCGTCCATCTGGGAAGGCCTTATCATAGTCCTGCAAATAAGACACAAATGATCATCTTTCTGGGACTTCCTGATCGACACACACACATAAGACACAATAATTCACAGCTTAATACCAGTAATAAACAAATGATGTACAGTACAGTATATGCAACTTATAAAAGAAAAGTCAATATCATCATAGGAATATTTTTGACTAGTTATAATTATGAAAATCATTGTCACCTTAATTTTTACCCTTTGAGGACAAACAAGAGCTGTAACAGTCCTTAAATGGTTAAACCATCAGCCCTAAATGTTTAATCTAATTGATTAAATCATCAATGATACACCAAAGGGGTTAAATCATAGCCTCAAACCACTACACTATCATCACTCAAATAGTTGCATATAAACCCTGAAATGTTTAATTAAACCATCATCATCACTAAAAGAATTAAAACATCATCAAAAGGATTAAACCACCAATCTTAAGGGGTTCATTTCTAAAAGGTGTCCTGAATAAGTAGGCCTTATGCTCGGTGTTTCATAACTCTGACATCTATATCAAGTCAAATCTTAAAACAAAAAGGAGAAACTCTCACTACTGGCCAGGGTCCCTAACCTAACCAAACTGATGCATCCCTCACATCATCTTACTAAATCTATCCAAAATTGGTCGTATCTAACACACCCTTAACATAAACATAACTTAATATAACCAATAGCCTACCTCTAGCTTAACCTAACCTACCAATAACCTACTTCTAGCATAGCATAGCCTAGCCTAACCCAAACCTAACCTAACCTAAAACACATCAGCCATCGTCACATCAAGCTTCAGGTTGGTAAGAGTTCAAGACCTTCCTCTTCCTCCCCCCTCCATAGCTAATGGATTGAAGTTGCCACGACAGCCAATACACCTGCAGTAGTTACCACAGAGAGAGAGAGAGAGAGAGAGAGAGAGAGAGAGAGAGAGAGAGAGTTTGTGTGTGTTAGTTTTCACACCTTGCCTCATTGCCATCAACGCCGACGTGAGCAGGTACCCAGCAAAGCTGGACCTCCCACCCTCGCAGCTTGAGTAAAAAGAACCATTCTAAAAATTTGACGACCAGGGATTGAATGAATTAAAAAAAAAAAAGCTAAAGTGCCTGTAGGGCACTACGCAAAGCACTAAAATTAGTAAAATTTTTAAAATGATCATGAACTTAAACATGTACTGCAGTGCAGCTAAAATCCCACATAGCTCAGCCGTAAAAAAATGAGGCAGTGAAGGGTAAGGCACTAGAGAAAAGAAGAATATCCTACCCAGGCATCCATCTTTGACCTGTCCGCGAAGACTGAAACATAGTTACTGTGTTCAGCAGTGTGCTCCTAAAAATAGCAAAAGAACGTGGCCAGGGATGTAAGCACCCTGACACACGAAAAGTAACGGCAAAATTCCATCCCTGGCAGTTGCCACAGGGGAAACAACCGAGTATACAACCGAAAAAAAAAACGGATAGGCCTATAAGGTGAAATAATATGAGGTCTAATCTTCGGGTGATCCTTCATATGTAAATAGCACTCGAGGGATATTTCTGGGTCGGTGGTCACTGAGTTTTCTGTAACCTGGAAAAGATGGCCAAAGGAGGTCGAGGGGAGAACAAACAACCCATTGATGAACAAGGACAATCATTACACGCCCTTTAATTAACTTTTTTCCACACCCCTTACCTCAACACCTACTTCTCGCCTTAAACACACACATACATCTGGCCGAGTCTCACGTAGGCATGAAATCATAAATAAAAAAAAAAAATATGGTGTGATTTATCCGATAATGATGGGCGGCCAATTAGTGTGGGTCGTACCCTCTCCACTCTGATCCACCGAGGGCATTTAAATAACCCTAAACCCTATTCAGTATATAATATAAATTACGCCTGCTTGATCATTAGCTAACATTAACCCACCAAAACTGAAAAGACTGAATTGATGAAAACCTACGTATACAGTACTTCCCTTGGACGACCCCCCTGTGATTATTTACCTGAAGGAAACGAGGAGTAATCAAGTCCAGCAGCATCATTATGTGCTTAACCTCTGGGTCAAGCTGTGGGCGGTCCGGGGCCGACACGTGGGGCCACTACAAAACCACACTGATCACTCCACTTATTTTTACCACTCGACAAACAGTTCTTAAGTATCTCTAGGAACTCACTTCATCTTCTCTTCAATGTAATTTCCATTTCTCTCGTAACACAATTATTCACATATACTTCACTACAGCTGTTTACATGTCACTCAGCGTTTAATTTCGTACTGTCATATTTAGCCACTTGGTTCTCTCTTCTGTGTACTGTAACATACACTATAGTACTCACTTTTCAACACTAGTCAGTCAGTCAGTCGGCCATTACTATATTCTAAAACAACACTATGTGCTTTAACAATTTCGCGTTATCCTCTTTCGTTTTTAACTTTCCTGAAGGTGATGATAAAGATGAATAATACAGAGGGAACGAATATCGGGGTGGGGGGAAGGGAGAATCGGAGTGAGAGGTAGGGGAGAAGTGGGGGGGTAGGGGGAGAGTCGGGATGAGAGGTAGGGAGAAGTGGGGTTAGGGGTAGGGGAGAGTCAGTGAGAGGTAGGGGAGAGTGGGGTTAGGGGTAGGGAGTCGGGATAGGAGGTAGGGGAGAAGTGGGGTTAGGGGTAGGGGAGAGTCGGGGTGAGAGGTAGGGGAGAAGTGGGGTTAGGGTAGGGGAGAGTCGGGGTGAGGGGTGGGAGAGGTAGGGGAGAGCCGGGAGAGGTAGGGGAGAGTCGGGGGTGAGAGGTAGGGAGAGTAGGGGGAGGGTGGGAGGTGAGATGAAGTAAACAGTGTGGTGGCGGGCAACAACTGATACAGATGTTGGCTACCCCCAGTATATTGACACCACCTCGAGTGTCTTGGGGTGTGGTACACTCTACTTCACCTGTGTTTAATTCTCCACACACACACACACACACACTTCCAAAACCGGCCTGGATTTTCATTCGCGTAACAATTGTCCCAACGAACGAAAACCTCAGAATGTTGCCTTATAGAATCGGGTTCCAATATATATATTTTTTTTGAGGTATGATCCCGTTGTTTCCTACCTACGTCAAGGGTTTGCGGGGTGTGGTAGTGGATGGCGAGGGTTGACGGGGGGAACAGACACATATATAATGTCCATCCCAAGTGGAGCGGCATGGTTCAGCCGTATACCTGGGGGCAGTGTCACGATTCATCACCATCCTGAACGACCACAGAGGTTAAATAAATGGGCCCCAACCTTAACCAGTGGGATTTGCGCTTAGTTTTAAAGGGCCCCCTACAATCTTACTGGTTAGGTTAAGATGAGGCGTAATACAAATGGGACTCATTTAACAAGTTGTCCCATGCACACCGCTCCCCCATTGTTCCTCTTACTACTCCCCCCTGTACTACACTGACAACACACCCCAGCACTATACTGACAACACCCCTGTACTACTGACAACACACCCCTGTACTACTGACAACACACCTGTACTACACTGACAGCACACACTACACACCCCTGTACTACTGACAACACACCCCCTGTACTACACTGACAACTCCTCCTGTACTACACTGACAACACACCCCACTGCACTATTGACACACCTCCCTGTACAACACACCCCTGTACTACTGACAACACCCCTGTACTACTGACAACACACCCTGCACACACAACACACCCCTGCACTATACTGACAACACACCCTGTACCACTGACAACACACCCCTGCACTACACTGACAACACACCCCTGTACTACACACTGACAACACACCCCTGTACTACACTGACAACACACACATCCTGTACTACACTGACAACACACCCCTGTACTACACTGACAACACACCCCCTGCACTACTGACAACACACCCCCTGTACACTGACAACACACCCTGCACTACACTGACAACACACCCCTGTACTACACTGACAACACACACCCCTGTACTACACTGACAACACACCCTGTACTACACTGACAACACACCCACTGACAACACACACCCCTTTGCACTACTGACAACACACCCCCTGCACTATACTGACAACACACCCCCTGTACACGACAACACACACCCCCTGTACTACACTGACAACACACCTCCTGTACTACACTGACAACACACCCCCTGCACTACACTGTCAGCATATCTACATCTTACGGTACACTGACATTACATCTCCTACGGTACACTGCCAAACATTCCACCACACACTTGGCATACCCAACAATTTCCTCAGTGGGCAACAATCACCCATGATACAATTTCATGGCCGGACAAAATATCACCCGAAAAAACCTAACCACACAATTTACTTTTTGGGTGGGGGGGTGCAAGATCCCGCCACACACACACACAGAAGCCTAACTAATCTGTCTTAACCAACATCTAAGCTAACTTTATCTAGCAGTACCCAACAACCTTAACCATGTCCCAACTTCACCAAACTAACCTAAACAAACTAATTTAACCTTACCTCACCAAACTAACCCTAACCAACTCCTAAGCTAACCGAACCGTACCTACCCTACCTTAACCAATCTCTTTAAACTAACCTAACCGCACTTAACGTATCTGAATCACCAAGAAGAACGTACTGTTACCTGTCAGACTATCATGAAACTGTATCGAGATAAACAGTTACGACACCTGTTTGATTAGTTCATGATGAGTCCACTGGGATTTCAGCCATTCGGTACTTCAGGTGACATGTACAACAACTAATTAACACATCTAGGTAAATATCAGCCGAGGTGTAGCATCTAATGAGCGCATCATAGTACCATACCAGGTAACGTCAAGTGAGAATAGGTGTCAACGATGGAATTAGCACACCAAGGTAGAACTCCTCCAGGCAACATTAGCTCAGAGGTTTTACTAATCAAGCAGCCTATCAAATGAAGGTGACAGGTAGCAGCGAAGCGTCATGTATAAGATTGGTTCCTGTAGAATGAAGTAAAATCAACTTACACCGTATGGGAGGAACCACCTGAAGA